AATCAACCTGAATGCACTTTGACAAAAGGAACAGAGGATCTTCAAAAGAAAGAGGACCAAACGATTACGGTAACTTGCGCCATAAGTGAATTACACACAGAATACTAGTGCGATGATAATAGAGAAGATAGTTCGACTTGTTAACTGAAATTCTAAAGTAATTGAATAGGCCTAAGTGGACTTATGACAAGAAGGAGAGAACAACATATATAGTGTTTATGATATGCCTATAATATCTATAATGTTTAAGAATCTGTTGTACATAAGTTTAACTTGTTCTGAATATATATATATATATATTATTGTGAAAAGAAGTGAAGAGCGTGCTGTTTAATTAGCGTTGAAGTTATCGCTAACAAGTCACAGGAATCCTTATCCATACAACAACCTAGTATAGATTTATACTATTAAGAAATATAACTAAAGCCTTTTATTTTGGCAATTGGCGAAGATCAGATTTTTAAATTCTGACACCCATCATTGGTAGAATCGCATGCTATTTGGTATAATACATATAAATATCTGTTGATAAAGATAACACCGTCAACGTTTCAATTACTTTTCTGTTTGTAAGTTATGTGTTTATAGAACTGAAAAATCCAGCGATGTTGCTGAATGATAAAATATGGAATTCTGTATAAATATTTTTTTATGTTTTAGGTATTCTTTAGAGCATTTTGTGAAAAACCCATAAGTTTCGTTCTGACTTATTAATAAACTTGAGCTTGATACCATTTAGTCATCTAAACCGCCTCTTTGTTTACCAGTAAACCACTAAATAAACTGAATTATTTGTCTTCGCTTTCATTCAAAAACGTTAGATGTCCATGAGCTATAATCTTGTAAAAGCTAGTCTGATTAGAGGACCTTCCTCCGAAAAAAAAAAGTTACTATTTGGAAGTGAAAAAATACAGATAAAATAAATATTTTATTTTCATAATTAGTCAAGGAATATTTATATTACACTGATACACTTTGTCACCTAACGTGATTGACGGCTTTTTTTGTTTGAGTTTGGTAGTTTGACCTGAGTTTTTACGGATCTTTTGTATGTATTTATTAGTTGGACTTGAGTCTGATGTTTTTCGTTTTTGTAATTTGTTAATTTAACTGAGTTTTTACGAATCTTTTATATATATTTGTTAGTTTGACCTGAGTTCTTCGATTACTGCAGGAGTTCAACACTATTGTATTATTAACTAGGTCACGAATGTCAAAGGATACGTCCGTGAATAAATAACTTCCAGGCATAAAAAGCTTAATTTCGAGAGTTCGTTGAACTTGAAGCAGATCTAGTTAAGTTTAGTGAAGAAAATACAACGTAAACCGCAGATGTTCAACAAGGGAATATAACAACAAACCAGTTTATTTAGCTCATGAGATGTGTTTAATTAATAAAATAAATATGTATTTAGTTATTAAAATAATAAAATACCAAGTTATTATTCTGAAAACAAGATACTTGTGAAGAATGTCAACTAAACAATTAGTAAATGTAGGGAAAATTACCTGTAACATATATGTGAGTATGCAAAGTTAGGCTGAAGATCTGAAGCCTCCGTTGTGTAGTACATTTTCCAGGGTCCCCTTAATAGCATACTAGGGGAAAAACTCATGCTTTGCATACGAAACATTATTTATGTTGTGGTATTTTGTATTTGAATTCACAAAATTTATAAAATCTAAAGGCAATGTTGTGTATTTAAAGTAATTAAAACAGCTTAGTGAACTGCCTAAACTACTTACGTATGAAGTTAGTTAGATACATAGAGTTCTGAACTAATTTGATGGCCGTGCGGGGCGTCTAAGTGACTGCGAGGTTAAAACAGTGGGTTAAGCCTATTCCGTCTGATCAAAAATTTGAAAAAAAAAACAACAACATCGACTTATTTAGTAAAAGACAGCAGACCTGGCGACGTTTTAAAAACCTGGGTCTCGAGGACAAGTATTAAAACTCAACAGGGTGACGGTACAGTTACTCTTAAGTATTTATAAACAAATGAAAAAATTCTTACACGAATCTCTAACACATAAACACTGCTGTCTGAGATGAGGCTCTGAGGGAGGACAGATCCATTCCCCTAATTCCTTTCCCGTTCCAATACATAGTACTATCTACACCCATCCCTCTCTTACGCATATGGTGACGTCGTTCGTAATTCCCTTACTTCTAGTTTCATTTTGACATAATTTAATGAAGTTTAAAAAGCTTCCGACGCATGCACTCACGTTAGTTATATGGATATATCTCGTGTTAATTTTACAAGATATCAGTGCTCCATTGACTGCTAAAACTCATTTTGTAAGGTTATGATTCAGCTTGGAAAAGTGGATGTGCCTAAATAACCATTTTATGTTAGCATTTCGATCGAAATGCAGATAATATCTACGTATAAAGTACTACATGACGGTAAACTCAAATTTGTAACTGGTTAATTTTTACCTCGAATTATATTTGACAAGTTTACGATTTCAATAAACAAAACCTTTCAAACTTGTTAAGGTTAACCCTTATAATCAGTTTAATAGTGTAAAAGATAAAATGTTTTGATTTTTACTTTTATAATTAGTTGTTTAATTTTCTGTACATTTATTAAATATGTAGCTTTTTAACACTAACTTGAAGTCAGCCAATTTAAGTTTGTGTGTTCTGTATGCGAAACAAGTAACGTTTATGATAATATCAATAATGTAAAACTTCTTTCCATCTACACCCATGGAAGAGGGAATTGGTTTCACTTTTAGAAGATTATAACTAGTGATTTTTATAGGTTTTTTCTGTAAACTTAAAACAATCAAAGTAAAGAATGGTCATTTTAATCTCTATCCCTCGGAATTTAAATCTGAGGATTCATGGCTTGCGCCCCACTACCGCAAAAATTCACTGAAAATTTGTCTGTCCAATTATTCTGTCAGGTAAGAGTAGCTAACGTGTCGGCGGTAGGTGCTGTTGACTAGTTGGCCACCCTCTAGTGTATCAGATCAAGATTAAAAATTAGGAATGATTATGCGCAGATAGCTTTTTATATATAAATTTGCTCGTAAATAATTAAATTATTATTTCTAATTCTACCTTTTTAGAAGATTATACCTAGTAATTTGTTATTCTTTGCCTGTACAAAATGACTTTAAAACAAGTAAGGTAATGCAGAGAGAGTCATCATAAACGTAAAAAGAAGAACATCCTAATAATATTAGTAACATTACATCATATCTTACTTGTTGAGAACTAAAGAGTAGTTTATTATCGTGCAAGATACACATTTTGTGGGAACTAGATACGATATTGGATTTATAAAAAAACTATTGAATCCATCTGAAACCTTCACTAGTTAGAAGGTAATGCGTCTAAGGGAAAAACGTTCTAGTATTAATTCCTAGGCCTACTAGGTAATGAACTGATGTGTTAGAGAAGTTGTCCATTTATATCTTTGGCACAGTATGAACTTGTTATCTGTTGTTTAATTTCCCTATGTAAAGAAATGTATATCCATGATGTCAAAAAACATATAACCATATAACCCGAGGGCTTTCAAAAAGTGGAGTGAGAAGCCTAGATTGCCCCTGAAAAAGAAAGGTCCACCTTTCGGAAACACTTGGGTTATAGGGATTTTATCGTTTTATGTGAGGAACAACAGAAATAGCTTTCTTACTCTGTAGTTACATGAAACTCCGAACCTGCGCATTTGTGTTTACAGGCGTTATAACCATTCCAGTCGGCGTATTCTTATTACTGTGTTTGGTGTATCCTATTCGGACGTATTCCTATTACAGTGTTTGGTGTATTCCAATCGGACGCATTCCTATTACAGTGTTTGGTGTATTCCAATCGGACGTATTCCTATTACTCTTATTTGCGACTAATATACGTAAGAGGCAGAATTAGTGTTCAGAATGCACAAAACAACACAAACGTTAGGTACTGGTTATCTTTTATTTTATTCTAATCAGGGTAACAGCTTTTCACAGTCTAAAATGAAAGATATGTATCTCCTTTTCTGGAAGTAAAAATAGCGGTGGTGCATTACAATAAGAAGTTCATTCTCATGATAAAAACCGGTCATTTGTCTGTACGAAAGCTTCTGACCATATGATAGACAGTAAGAACTGCCGACTGTTGTTAATATACTGTATTAGATAACCGGTATTATATAAAATGAAGACTTTCTGCAAGGTGACACGAGTTTTCAATATTTAATAATAATGTAAGTTTTAGTAACGCCTATTTCATTACATAACTTTGGTAAGAAACTGGAAATTTTCTCTTCACCTAAACTTGTAATTTCAGTGAAATAAATAATTCATGAATGACGTAGATGCCTAATCTATTCCTTGATTGGCTACCCTCTCTGCAGTGTAATAGTTTTGCTGTATTCGCGGCTCATCAGTGCGCTTGGGATGTTGGTTGGTTGTTGTCAAGCGTAAAGCTGCATCATGGGCTAACTGTGTCTTACCAACCAAAGGTATCTAAGTCCAGTTTTTAGTGTCGTAAACTTGTAGACTTACAGTTGAACCACCGGGGGCGTACTGCTTGGGAAAGCAAAGAAAATGAATACATTAGGCCTTATATTGTGATAGAATGTAAATAGTTTGTAGGCTTTGACATATATACCTTTACTCACCACTAGTAACCTAATATTATTGGTGAGAAAAGGACTACACATCAAAGTTTATAAGATGAAAATTTGTAAAACTGATGGTGAAACTTTACTCACCATAAATGAAATATCGAAAAATTCTTGCCCATAGAAACAAGCCAACAAATTATTTGACAATTTGTTAATTTGACAAAAGTTTATACTGGAAATATTTCTTTCTGTTTTGGTATTCACATTTATAACTTTTTGAACTGTTGGTTTGGAGACTAAATAATTAGTATCTATTTTTTGCTCGTATATTTATTATATTAGAACATATATATTTCTTATTCTTTTTCAGATATGTTTAAAATGTTCTAAGAGTGTTAAAAAACCTAACGTCTACCATTATTTTGATTACAGGATGACAAAGTCCAAATCAGGTTAAAGCTCCGCTTGGGATATTAACCGGACCTTGGACAAGTACAATGCAGCCATAATGACAGACCGACATAATTACGTGCACTACAACACAGTGCGAGATTATCCACAGTCTTTTAAAGCATCAGAAAAATCAAATAACAGTGGTAGCCTCAAAAGACGCCTTAACATTTTCTCGCGTAAGAAAAACAAAACAAATAGCAATGATGCCACCATAAGGGACCCTTATGGAAATGAGTTTGGTGATAAATTTGGTTCACTGTCTGCAGCATCTACTGCACGAAACTGTGTAGGCAAATCTCCAACCAGTAAGCCTAGTTATCCACATCAAGACGTTAAATTTGCTTCCGTTAGAAATGTCAGATCGAGACCACGTGTTGTGGTCTATCCTTGGGAGACCTATGTTAACATTCAAGACCCAATTCATGAGGATGACTTGGAAGAAAAAGTTCCTCCAACAACCACTGCTTCCAGAGTAGCTCATTGTAAGTGTGGATTAGCTGTTCGTAGTAGTACCTGCAGTAGAGGATCGCGATTTTCTTGTAGATGTTGGTCTCCACATGCTTCCCAAAATACTTTTCAAGTACCTCAGGTTCTTCCTCGAAGGAAATCCATTTTACCAGAAAAAGTCGATCTTTATGCTGTATCCGAGGAGAATGGAGACAATGAGCAACACGGGAATGGTTTACATTCGCGCCATGAAAAAGTAAGCGGGTCAAGGAAATTAAAACAAAATAACCTGCCGAAACCATCATCACATTCGCCACATGTTAGTTTCATCAAATCTATTGATAGAAAGGGTCCTTTCAACTCTGTAGCATCAAGAAAGTCCATCTTAGAATGTGACGTAACTGCTTACGATCTCATAAAAGAACATGTGGATTCATCGTCTACTCCTGAGATTGATAGCGACGCGGACGATGACTTAAATGATAATGCAATTGAATTAAAAACTAACAAGAAACATGATACAGAAAGACGTAGCCGAGAAACTCGAATGAGTAAATCTTTTCCGAATAATAAAGTTTTGACTTATCTCTCTTCACAAAGTGGTCACGCCAATGATTTCATCACTTACAATGAAGATGTGATACGTGGTCAAGGACCAGAAGATTGTAAAACATTTAGAGTGTCAACAGAAAGTTTTTTACCACCATCCTCCCCACAGCCAAGTACGAAAAGCAGCTCCAGTTTCGTAGATTCCAATTATAACAGTTGGAGCGATCGCTGCACTCCTGAGAGCAGTTCTTCTTCTATTCCAGATCCAGACTATGAAGATGACACACAATCAAATGAGCTTTCCTACTTGAGCAATCGTTTGAAAAACTTCACAGTATCCTACTTATCACCATCAAAACAAAAATTCCGCGAAAAGCCAGATGTGGAGAAAAATACGTTTCAGGAAAACACACATATTTTCCCGTCTTCTTCATTGCCAAATTTAACGGACAAACAATTTCCAACTCTTGTTGCTCCACACAAGTCATTTGACTCGGAACATACATATCCCAACGAACGATCAACATCGGAAAGAGATTTATTTTATCAACATCAGAGCCTGTTCTCTTCTTCTTCAGCCGCTTTAGAAGACAAAAGACTTGTGTCTTCTTTTACAAAACCTATTGAAAAACAGTGCTCCTCCTTGTTTCTAAAGCATTCAGGGAAACAGTGTTCTTACTCACTTTCACAACCTGTAGACAAACAACGATCTTACTCACTTTCACAACCTGTAGACAAACAACGATCTTCCTCGCATTCACAACCGTCTACAGGTTGTGAATGCGAGGAAGATCGTTGTTTGTCTACAGGTTGTGAAAGTGAGTAAGATCGTTGTTTGTCTAAAAAACAACGATTCTTCTCGCTTTCACAACTTGTAGACAAAGAAGGTCCTTCCTCTCATTCGCAACCTGTAGACCAACAACGATTCTCCTCGTTTGAACAACCTGCAGACAAACAACGATTCTTTTCGCTTTCACAACTTGTAGACAAAGAAGGTCCTTCCTCTCATTCGCAACCTGTAGACCAACAACGATTCTCCTCGTTTGAACAACCTGCAGACAAACAACGATTCTTCTCGCTTTCACAATCTGTCGACAAACAACCCCCATGCTCGTTTGCACAGCCCTTAAGTGATCAAGGTTCATATTCGTTTACAAAACCAACAGAAGATCAAGGCTTTTCTTTGTTTGCACAATTTGAAGAAGAACACTGTCCATTGTTCTTACAAGCTGCAGATAAAAGACCTATCTCGTGTTCGCAAGCAGGGGAAAATCAGCATCCATCAATCACTAGAACTACAGAAAATCAACCCAATTCTCCATTTTTAGAACACGCAGAAAGTAAACGCCCCAGCTCTAATAACAGTTCCTGGAGAAATGAAAACCTCGAAACGTTAACGGCCGTGCCTGTCTGTTCTCATCAGCAGTATAGTGAGTTTGACGATATTGAGACAAGCATAGATTCTTCGGACACTAGCTCCCTGAGTCAGAACTCTTCTAAGGAGGTTAAGTCGATTTTGAAAAGAAATGGAAATTCACTTGTTAGTGTAAGCTCTTTTGATGACTCGTACCTACCAGAATGTGAAGAAAATAAGGAGGTAAGAAAGAAGAAACAAGTGAAATTCAAAGCAGATGATAACGATGTTGTAATTCTTGAACACATATGTCCAATGTCAGAATGGGAAAATGATGAGGAGGAGGAAGATACAAAAGAGCCTCGGGTTGTTCAAGTAACACCAGTTACACAAGAAAATCAGAATAACTCTCATAAAAGTAAATTTAAAATTGATGACCACTTTTCTTCTGGATTTCAGAGCGTGGGTGAAATCCTCTCCTCCAGTTGTTTGGGGTCAACCGCTGGACAAAGAATAAAAAACGAAAAGCATGATCGCATGGCAGCCGAACATTCTGGAAAATCACTCGTTAAAACCGATAAAAGGCAGCACACACCAAAAGAAGACATTTCTTGTAAAGGGAGAAATAAAACTTCAATACCTAATCATTCGCAAAGGAATTTTACTGAAGTTAGTGCAGAGAAGTACAAAAGTCCACCGCCAGGAGACGTCACTTATTCAAATGCTGCTGGTAAGTTTCCAGGATTATGTGTCGTTTTTATACTCGAATTTGCATATATTGATTATATTCATACATGTCATATACGAGAAGGCGATTCTTTAGGTACATAGTGGTTCCAAGTACCCTCCTAAGCAAAGTAACTAAATGATAATAGACTAAAAATGAATAAACTACCAGATTTATATTTTACCCAAAAGTAGCATTGCTAATCATTGCGAGCTAACAAGTAAGCTGACTGGGTAAGATAACTCAATACGTAAGTTGAAAGTGAGTCACCTCTATAAGCTGCTTTCTTATTTCACTCTTTATTTTTTCGAAATAGTTATTTAGTTGTGCCTTTTGTAAACACTACGACCAATACCTTGGAAAAGAATGGTATTAGAAGTTACTGAATCCCCAATTTTCACTGGTTAAATCCTATAGTTACCAGAGTGGTATTAGAAGTTACTGAATCCCCAATAGTCAACAGAGTGGTATTAGAAGTTACTGAATCCCCAATTTTCACCGTTTAAATCCTTTAGCATGTTGTTGTTATTTCACCATCTTTTTTACACTCCATTATTTTTAAAGTTTTGTTTTATTTCCGATTAAAGCTGGAAAAATAAAACTTGAGCTTTATCATAAATTAGTTTCACTATTTGCTAATATACATCATGTATTCCAAAAGACAGTGCATAGATTATGTACTTTATGCCAAAAGAGGAAAAAAGCAGTTTAAACATAGAATTGATTACGCGTATACAAAAACAACTAATGTTTATAGTGCCTCCTATAGGTGAAAAATTTTTGCTTTTAAGTTGAACACTATCTTTGGATATATACAAGACAAGCCTTACCAAAAGTACATCCTACATAATTTTTATTTTATTTTATAGCGCCACCTATTAACATAGTTTTCTGGTATTTCTTCCCTGTAGTCATATTAGTAATATCTTTAGACAACTAGGAAACAGGTTATCGAAAGCTGGTCCTTGTTCACCTTCTTAACTGCTGACTCAACCCTGTCTTATCACTTAATATTCCTATCGAATCGAACCGAGAAAGCCATGTTTGTTGTTCAGAAGCTAAGGGTGTAGTAGAACTTGGTGTACTAAATATTTTAACAAATCATAGTTATTTAATTATAATCGTTTGAATAATTCAAGATCCAATACCATATACGTATGAGAGTGAAATTTGTGTGTGTGAGTGTATATACCCCCCACTCACACGCGAGAAATTGTGTAGCGCCATCTAGCGTTGTATTTTCAAATGCATTTATTAATTTTACTACATATAAGTTGTTGGGATTATTAAATTGGCAAACGTTTCATTGTCGTCAACTGATTTTCTATCGCGAGTATATCACTACACAATAGGTTAAAGAATTTTTACGTGAATGTTCATATTAGTGGTTACATAATTGAAAAACAACAACAGGTCCGTTAGAACGTACACTGATTAATTCTGTACAATAATTTTTTTAATTAGCGATCTGTTTAAAAAGGTGAATATATTTTAGACTCAGAAGAGCTTGCAAACACTAGAAACGAATCAGTTTTGATCTCCTGTTCGAAATATTATGATATATGACAGAGTTTAAACTGTCATTAAATATACCTCCAGCCTGTCCATTTAAGGTTTCTAAAGTCAAGAAATGATTAAATGGCTGAATGACCTCTTCGTAGGGTGTGTATCTTGATGAGACCGGATTTTGTGAGCCTATTTCTCAACGAGTTGAATTTCCTGTGGCCCTGACCCAGATTCTCGAAAAAGGCTGACAATCCTGATAATCAAAATGTGTTGCTTTACAAGCGGCATATCTTCACGGAAAGAAACACCTGCTTATTAGTGTTGTTCAAATCATTTAGCACAATAAGAGTACAGGAAGCAAATTTCACATACGTTACTTTATTTCTACGGTTTCAGGTGAATAGAACGAAAGCAAATTCATTAACTGCATAGTCCAAGCAGATCTTCTTCACTTATGTATCCAATATCCGATGTAACTCCATTACATTTTCATAAGTTTAGTAAGTGTTTGTGAAACGTAAAACGTTTCGCCAGATATTATACAAGAAAAAAAATCTAAAAAATTGAAATGGTCTTTTTTCTCTTAGCGCAGAGCTACACGATGGGCTATCTGCGCTCTGTCCACCATGGATTTTAACATTGTAAGTCTGGAGACTTAACGCTGACCATTCGGGCGTAGGAAATTAAATGGCTATTTATATGATGTTTAACATGGCATTGGATATTTATGTATACTACTTACCATACGTGTGCTTTACTGAAGTTGGCTGCTGCAAACTGCTGAAACACAGCTATTACTAAGTCAATGAAACACCAAACAGAGCCCTCTATTGGTAGAATAACGTGCTGCATAACAGGCTTGTATTATGTGCTACCTTCCTTGTGCTCGTGTTCCAAATATTCTTTGTTCTAAACTGCTGCTGGGATCACGTATTGATCTATGAAATAGCATCCAATTTCTATTGCAGCTTCGTGCTGAAGACCACCACAGCTGAGTTATCTAGTCATTTCAATAATAATATATACATAATGAGATTCCAAAACCTTTTTATTATATTTGTTTGCTTGTTGTTAAGCAGAAAGCTACACAAGAGGCTATCTGTGCTTTTCTCACCACGGGCATCGAAACCTGGTTTTTAGCTTTCGTTATAAGCCTTCAGACTTACAGTTGAGTCACTAGGAGACGGTCATTTTCACTGTAAAATAAATTTACGCTTTCTATAGAAATTCATTATTATCTATGTACAACAAGCTTTTCGTAAAATTACGCCTTAAAATAGAATTATTCTGTATACGTTGAGTCTTAACTTTTTTTCAAAAGCAATTTGTTGTAAACGTACGTTTTAGAAGGGAATTAGCTGAGAGTAGACATTAAGGAAGCAAAAATTGTATAAAGAACAATGTTAGATAATGTTTCCATTCTTTCTTTCATTTGCTATTATATCCGTAATTATATGATTAAATGCTAACTGCAAACCCTGCCTTATAGAAGGTAATAATTAACTCATTTAATTAATTAAGTACTTGTGCTGTTTTTTAAATTCAAAGCTAAAAGTTTATAAAAAAAAATGGAAACGTACCTTATTTCAGGGTATTTTTTATCCACCTTCTTGGGCAAAAATCCTACAAGAAAATAGCCAATGTACATTGTCGACCAGTTTCTAGTTACCATACAAACAATTACGACAATCGAGCCAACCAACTGTGGTTGATGCCAAAAGTCTATAACAACTCGTCTATTTCAGGGGCTTTTTATCCTCAATTTAGGACAAAAATCCTGAAACAAAAATAACCCATGTAAACTGTCGGACAGTTACCATACAAAAAATTACGGCAATCGAGCCTGTAACTGTGGATGTTTGTGTGTCTCTTGCTGACTGATGCAATCTGGTGAATCACGGCTATTGCTAAATCAATGAAACACCAAACAGAAGATTCCAGAATTTGAAATTGAAAAACAAATGATTTCCGAAAAAACTAGAATAATTAAGCCTATTTATTTAATTTCACTATTTCAGCTTTTAGTGGAATATCAGTTCTTGCCCCTCTCACGGTGGCTCAGCGGTAAGTCTGAAAGCTTATAACTGTATATCTTGGGCTTGGATATTCGCAGTTGTGAGATCACAGTTAACCCATTGTGTAACTTTGGGCTTAATAATAAACAAAGAAAAAAACTCTTTCTATACTAATTTCTAAACTGCAAACTGTCGACAGAACTCAGACATAAAGCAGTTATAATTTGGTCGACAGACAACCTAATCATTACATAGTCTGTAAACATTCGTAGCCCAAAATTAATTTATACTGACAATTCTATTTAGTCAATTTTCTTAACAGCGTAAATTTCCTTTTTTGTTTGTTTGTTTGTTTTTCGAACCAAAGTATTTTATTCATTTATAGAGCCATCTATGCCTAATTTATTATTAAAACTGATTACTGATTAACTACGGATTATTGGCCGAACCTAACCATGTTTACAGAACTGGGATAGCAAAACAACAGAATTCTAAATGATAAGTATATCTACCAAAAGATTCTTACGATTTTGAGTCAGATCCTTCACACTGGCTTCTTGCGTCATTAAAAATTGTTATTAACAAAATAAAGAGCTTATAAAGTCTTTGATACGAGATAGTAATGTTGATGTATTAAACTTTATTTTTTAACCCTATCAATATGGACCTCATCGGCCTATAAATTACATTTTTCTAAGTTTGAAGTTGAGCACAACGCAACACGTTGGGCTATCTGTGCTTTTCCCACAACGGGTATCGAAACCCGGACTCAAGCGTTGGAAGTCCGCAGACATACTGCTGTGCCACTAGGAGGGGGGGGGGCAAATTTTCTAATATATCTAAGTATGAAATTACTTGTTGCTACTAGTCTATGTTGGTTATAAGGTTTCAATAAGATGAGTCAAATGAAAACATTAAATCTGTCAATGTTACAATTAATCCCTTTTATTAAAGCTGTGGTCTTCTATGACGTTTACATAGAAACAGAGTTGACCCAGTTTGTTTGACCACTTCTCCTCTGTAACAATTTAAAACATATTATTACTCAGTATGATGCAATAAGTGGACCCCACTGGAAGTGAACAATGTGTAAAGAAGTCGATAATTTAAGGGTTAATCTTACTTTCAAGCTATAATTATGCAACATATACAAAAACAGTATTTGCTGCTGGTTTGTGTTTCTTGAGTTCTAATTTTGTCCGTTTTAACTTTGCCAAATAGATACATTTCTTTAGAATATTCGTGTAATAACCGAAAAAAGTTCAGCTTATGTGCAACCTAAACTTATTCAAGTTGGTGTAGTGCTTAGATGTACACACCTATATATTCTAACCCTCCGAAAAACGAATTTGATATTTCTCAGCTTTTTAACAGTTTAGTACTGGGATTTTTTTTTCTCTGTCGATGTATACGTTGTAATCTGAAAGTACGAAAAGTTCACATTGAGGAACAGAAGAGCTGACACTGCACGAAAATGAATCACACAGCTGATCATAATGTGGGTTTCTGTTGCCCAACAAGAGCTTGTGTGTGGTTTCATTCTAAATCCACTTTAGCACCGCATCAGTAGAACCAGCATAGCTCCTAAAACCGATTACTTAATTAAGTTAAATTAAAAAAAATAATATGGTTTTAACTTATATTTAATGTAAAAACACCATACCCATACAGTATATTGACATTGTGAAGAATTATTCGTCAATAAGAGGAATAATAACTCAAACTTAGTTAAACAGAATTAACAACTAACAAACAGCAAATAAATTTTTAATAACGTTTTCATCTATTTTTCAGCGAGTTCTTGTGACGTCGTAATGGATCGTGACAAATCAAGCTCAATTTTTCCAAAAAACGGACATTCTTCCCCCGCCACTAAGAAGCGGGGGAAGGTTACTTCAGAATCAACTCCTGAGGACGTCTCACCAGATGTCGCCAGCATACAGCCACCTTCCAGTCTTAGCATCGTTGAAAGTACCAAGCCTCTCGTCATCAATAATAAAATAATTTCTGAGTCTGTAGATGAAGCGTACCCAAATTGGTCTTTGAAAATTAATAGGGAAGAAGACGATCACTGTAAGAGTTTGAAGACTGGTAACGAGAATAAAAAGACATTTTCTGTATCAGTAAAAACACCTTCTGTTTGTAATTCGACAAAAAGCGAGGAATCTCAGGAAAAAACTTTAGAAAAAGAAATTTCTAAATATTTCGATGACAAAGAAGTTTCCTTTCCCAAAGTTAAATGTCCTTCAGTCACTTCAATAATAATAAAATCATCTCCACCAAACAATAAGTTTGAATCCTCGAGCGTAATAAACGACAGTGTGTCCTCTTTCAATTGTTACGAGTCTATTCCAAACCCTACAGCGAAGCCAGAGATTCCAAATTTCATTCTTGGAGGTTCTCCAATGTCCACTGATGATTCCAAGGTACTTAGAGCTTTCATAGAAGTCGTGAACAAAATATGTACTAATTTGTCTGTTAAGCAATGCATTTTTAAACTGAATTAATGTTACGCAATAAGTGCAACTGGCAATGTAAAATGTTTTAAACAATTATTGCTTGGTCTTCTGCTAACAGGGGATGATGATTACTTTATACTTTATAAATATTGTTCTATATGGTTATGGTCTGATGTTCTGCCAACAAAGGATGATGATTACTTTAGATTTTGTAAATAGTGTTTTATATGGTTATGGCCTGCTGTTCTGCCAACAAAGGATGATGATTACTTTAGATTCTGTAAATATTGTTTCATATGGTTATGGCCTGATGTTCTGCCAACAAAGGATACAAGAGATGATGATTACTTAATATATTCTCAAAAAACATTTGATATAGTTATGGCCTGATATTCTGCCAATAGAGGACGACAGTTACGTAATGACCTCTCGATATCGGTTATATTTTATATGTACAACCCTACCGTGAGATTGTTCTAAAAAAACTGTCGTAAACCGTTACCCACTAGTTAGTGAAGGGGTTTTTTAGTCAGTAATTATTACCATGTTTCCTGCTCTGATCGACTTCTATTTGACTCTTCAGTCATGTATCCATAGGAAATGCACATATGGTATAAGAAATAGCTGTTCGGATTCAGAACGCAAATGTACGGATCATTGATTAGATTTCTCGTTGTGATGACTTAATTAAGGCAGTTAATCCATAATATTTAGTGTTTAAGTGTCATATTTCATAAGTCTTATGTTCAGTTTGGTGGCTTTAGGATCCAGGTCTAATTTTTTTAATATGTTAATTCGTAGGTCATAGGTCTGGTAAGGGCGTTGTTCAGAAAGATGGTCGGCTCTATGTTCTTTATGCCCACAATATGAGATTAAAACTAGCATATGTACGCATGTGATATGAGCAACCAGACTTCAGTTCTTAACACAGTGTTCTCATTAAACATGATGTATTTCTTCCATCATACAAAATGTTGATACGAAGACAGTCGCGTACAGCTGTTTCAAAAAGATCAGCTGTTGGAAGTGTTAGTCCTGAAGATCGACCTAGAGAGTCCACACAAAGGAAGAAGTGTAAATCACATAGTTTTAGTCTAAGGGATAAAGGAGAGATGAGGAAGGGCTGTCTGTCCGAACTTTTCAAATTAGTCACCACATAACGAGTAATATGGAGTCTGGCATTATAACGTTTCATATTAATCGCCACATAACGAATAGTAAGGAGTCTGGCATTATAACGTTTCATATTAATCGCCACATAACGAGTAATATGGAGTCTGGCATTATAACGTTTCAAGTTAGTTACCACATAACGAATAAAATGGAGTCTGGAATTATAACGTTTCATGTCAGTCGCCACGTAACGAGTAGTAAGAAGTCTGGCATTATACCTTTTCATGTTAATCGCCACATAACGAGTAGTATAGAGTCTGGCATTATAACATTTCATGTTAGTCACCACTAAATGAATAGTAAGTAGACTGATATTATAACGTTTCACGTTAGTCGGTACATAGCAAGTAGAAAGAAGTGTGGCATTATAAAGTTTCATATTAATCGCTACATAATGAGTAGTATAGAGTAGCATAACGAGTAGCATTATAACGTTTCATATTAGTTACCACGTAACGAGTAGCATTATAACGTTTCATATTAGTTACCATGTAACGAGTAGCATTATAACGTTTCATATTAGTTACCACGTAACGAGTAGCATTATAACGTTTCATATTAGTTACCACATAACGAGTCTCAGTTTTTTCTGTCTATGCTAACATATTCAGCAAAACAATTTGATAATATCTGTTGATGAAGTATTTATGAATCCGTTGCAGTAAACAGGTATTTAAGTATTAACTTTAGAATTACAGACATATTCACGCTACTCCGTTTTCTGTTTCTGCGAAATTATTCAACATTTTTAAATTTACATCAATTTTATCCACATGTGGACAGTGGTATGTCTCACACGATGAGGTTTTACTCGTTTCTCCACATGTGGACAGTGGTATGTCACACCCGATGAGGTTTTACTCGTTTCTCCACATGTGGACAGTGGTATGTCACACCCGATGAGGTTTAACTCATTACTGCACATGTGGACAGTGGTATGTCACACCCGATGATGTTTCACTCGTTTCTCCACATGTGGACAGTAGTATGTCACACTCGATAAGGTTTAACTCATTACTGCACATGTGGACAGTGGTATGTCACACCCGATGAGGTTTTACCCGTAACTCTGAGAACTTGAAATCGTTATTCCTGTGCCTCCTCCTTACATCGTCACTGTATAAAATAATGGTAATCAAACTGAAAATACACAGTGTAATACAACTCAAAAATAGACCTAAAATATTCATGATCGCTTGAAACTAAAATAACACAGGTTTATAGATAAACTGATGTGCTTGTTTGCATACGCGTCTGTGCCAGGTATTATCCATTTCAAATAACTGTTTTATTTCTGTTAGTGAGAGAAGAAGCATAAAACACATTTCATTAAACGTGTACCTTATCTGTTACTTTATTTGATGAATACTGTGATGTTGGATTCAACTTTTCATCATTGAATAAAACAAAGCAAGAACATATCAAGATTAGCGTACATTGAACCTTGATATTTGTTGGGCACTTCATAACTCGTGAATCTTGACTGTAAAGAGTTCTCGAAGAACCCATCAACATTGAAGTCATTGAACCTTGATATTTGTTGAGCATTTCGTTACTCGCGAATTTTGACTTTAAAGAGCGTGAAGCTATAATAACAGCGCTAGTTTCATGTCAAGTGAATATCTATAAGTTATTCAAATGAAGGGTGCGTTATAAAACAGTTTGGAAGTAACACCTAAATATTCTTGTATGTATACTACATAAGATTGGCGTAAGTTTCTTTCCCAATAACTGAACCTAAATCTGCCGGTCATTGTTTAAATAGGTTAATGCCAGTTTTATAATGACAGTGTCGATTGCTAAACGAATTTACTTTGAAACCGTTTCTATATCCTTTTTCTTTTCTTTTTTTTGCAGGTTTCCAATTCCACCAGTTCCGCGTTTTACGTTTCTGTTAACTCGAACCAAGACACTATCCACAGAAAAAGGCTTGTCTCATCAGAAACTGAATTGGCCACAAAGAAGTCAATAAATATTGTAGAAGACCAAGACGAAGAAGAAGAAGAATGTTCTAATTCTTCTTTCAAAATATCACCGTATTATGGTGCAGTTACTGTAAAAATATCTAATAGTGGATTGTATAGTGACGACACGAGTACGATGGATGATGGTATACACCGAACTTTTACTGAGTTTGCTGAAGAGGAACCAGTGTATGAAGAGATTGATAATTATGACGAGCCTCTTCCTAGTAAGTTAAACATGGAGAAAACTGACAAGTAGAATATTATTGTTTTAACTCCTAGGTAGATTAGGTGGTTTATTTAGATTTTTGTTACTGCGATTTTTACGAAACCTAGTGCTTAAATATCCTAGAAAACTAGAATATTATTGTTTTAACTCCTAGGTAGATTAGGTGGTTTATTTAGATTTTTGTTACTGCGTTTTTTACGAAACCTAGTGCTTAAATATCCTAGAAAACTCAAACGATAGTTTCATCACACTTCTTCTCAAGGATGATCTTACTATCACCACTAAGTTTGAGTCATTGATAAACAAGGAGTAAGTTTTGAAAATTATTTCTCTCTCTTAAGCTAGAAATGAATAAAAATCCTATAACTCGAGCGCTTTCGAAAGGTGGACCTTTCTTCTTCAGGGGCAAAGTGGTAGTAAATGTCCGATAATTCTCCAGCCCGGTTAGATTAATCGGTTTTTTAGTAGACATTACTTTAAGGAGGTTGTTTCAAAATGGCATCAGGTCTTGGTAGGCCTGGTGGTTAAGGCCCTCGACCTTTCAGCCGTGGGGCGTTATAATGTGATGTCAATCCTACTATTCATTGATAAAAAAGTAGCCCAAGAGTTGGCGATGGGCGGTGATGACTAGTTTGCTAAGTTAGGGACGGCTAGCGCAGATAGCCCTCGTATAGCTTTGCGCGAAATTCAAAACAAACCAAACCAATCAGGTCTTGGTTTTCTTTTAAAGAAAGTATTGGGCACTGTGTTGGCATGTTGAATAGTTTCCTTTATGCCACTTCTGCCTTCTGTCTGATTTTCGAGACGTCGTTTCGGATTCTGTGCGGAGTTCTTCATCGGGTCTGACACAGTAAAATGTCCGAAACGTAGTCTTCAAAACCCGAGAGAAGGCAGGAGTAGACCAAAGGAACTATTCAACAAGGTCTTGGTTTGCCTTAACTTGAAAGCTTTTATATTAACGTATCTCATTTACAATATGTAAGCTGTATAGGTGTATTAATCATTAGTTTTTAGATTCATGAGAACTGTGAATCAACTTTCAGGTTTACATGCTTTCGAACCGTCAAAAAAATCGTTCTTTGAAGGAGCTTCCAAAGCAGACATCTTGCATTATCTAGAAGACGCTAAAGAACGAGGGTTCGAGCAGATGATGGAAGAAGATATTGACATTTTAGTTGAAGAAGAAGAAGAGAATGACGAAGAAGAAGGAATCAATCAATCAGTAAGTTAAGTAATTCAAAAATATATAATAATAATCAACCGAAGCAAGAATTTAATAACATCGTCATATTGATTAACCGGTTTTCTTTTCTATATGCTCCATTACTATAAACAAATATTCATGTCAATAGTGACATGTTTGTTAATTTCTCAATCATTCTAAATTAGGATGTTAATCTAAGTGAAATAATAGTGCCAACCCTAAATGTGTTTTTTTTTGGTACACAGAGAAATATTGTATTTAATTTTCTTAACTTTCGCTTGGTTCTCAGAAGCCCCAAGAGAGGAACCACAGGGTCAGAATCAGCAACGCAAGCAGCTCCAGCCAATCGAGCAGTGGAAGTGTCGACAGTAGTTCACCTGGAAACAAAGACGTCAGTAAGGTAAAACAAAAACACGTTCTCTTAACAAACATACTAATAACATTATATACAGGTAAACATAACTTATATAATTTTAAAGTGCTTCTGTTAGCAATTTTGTGTAATTATTAAATACATATAGAATATACTAGTTAATTTATTATATAGGTTTTGTTGTCTTTTTTTGGGGGAGAGGGAGGAGAAGCAAGCTTCTTGGGGTTGAACTATTATGACCAAATGAAGTTTGTAGTTTAAATGCTATTATATTATTTTTTACTGAAAAAGAGACTGTAATAGGCTAATAAAAAATACTTATTAAAAAAATCAGTGATGTTGTAACCTAATATCACACACATTACCTGTCCATAGATCACGATTCGCCAGCACAGGTGTTATATACCACATGAACGAAATAATCGAAGGTATCTGTAAAATAATTTAGGAAGGAATGTTTTCTAGATCTGTACTTTTTATTATTTTACCCAAAATTATAATTTGGAAGGAATGTTTTCTAGATCAGTACTTTTTATTATAATTTTGGGTAAAATAATTTGGAAGGAATGTTTTCTAGATCAGTACTTTTTATTATAATTTTGGGTAAAATAATTAGGAAGGAATGTTTTCTAGATCTGTACTTTTTATTATAATTTTGGGTAAAATAATTTGGAAGGAATGTTTTCTAGATCAGTACTTTTTATTATAATTTTGGGTAAAATAATTAGGAAGGAATGTTTTCCAGATCTGTACTTTTTATTATAATTTTGGGTAAAATAATTAGGAAGGAATGTTTTCCAGATCTGTA